AGACAGGGTACCATTTCTGCCCCAAAAAACTAGCTTCATCTTCTGACCAAATCTTTATTCATTATCAGAATGTTAGAGGTCTTATTTCAAAACTTAAAAATCTTTTCATGGCCAGCACTTCCTTCAATTCGGATATAATAGCATTTTCAGAAACATGGTTGAACTCAACCATATCTGATTTTGAGATTTTATCAAATAACTTTAGTTTGTATCGAAATGATCGGCCGACTCGAGGTGGTGGGGTGTTAATTGCCGTTAAAGCCACTCTCCAGTCTGAACTTTTCTGTTTTAGTACGCCTACTGACGCTGAGATTGTCTCAGTTAAGGTGTCTTTTCCTACACGGAATGTCTATGTAACATGCTCTTATGTCCCTCCTTCTTCTGATATTCAAGTTTATATGAAACATATTACTTGTATTAAAGAAGTTTCTTCACACGTGCGTGATAGTGACCTATTTATGGTGTTGGGTGATTTTAATTTGCCCAAAATCTCTTGGTCATTATTTACTGCCAAAAATTATCTAGTGCCCTCAGCACAGCACGATTTTATAGACTGCATGCTTGATCTTTCGTTGTTTCAAATCAAATCAATTTCTAATCATTTGACTAGAACACTTGACCTTGTATTTGTTAACGACTACCTTATTTCTAATGTGTCTAGGTCCCCTCCTTTATCTCTTCCTGAGGATGTCTATCATCCAACTTTAGAGATTGCAATGCTAAATTGTAATCCTTTCATTTCGTGCTCATCAGCCAATAAGCCCCGCTATTGCTTTCGCAAAGGCAATTATTCTTTGCTGAATCAGCTTATTTATTCGACCGATTGGTCTTTCTTATATGACTCAGTTGATATGAATACAGCTATTAATTTTTTTTACATCACCCTAATCTCCCTCTTAGATGTGTGTATTCCTAAGTCAATTCCTTCGACTACTTTTTCAAAACCACCCTGGTTTACTACCAGATTATCACATCTAAAAAATGTAAAATCCAAATATTTTAAAAAGTTTAAAAAGTCTGGTTCGTGTACAGACTTGGCTAAATATTCCATAGCCAAGTCGAACTTCTTTCTTCTTAATTCTCAATGCTATGAGAATTATCTAACACGTTGTAAAAGACAATTTGCCCGAAATCCGAGACAGTTTTATAATTTTGTAAACTTGAAGCGTAAATCTTCAAGTTTGCCATCTTCTTTTTTTCTTGGCTTGGATAAAGCTAGCAATGACACTGATTCTGCTAACCTCTTTGCTAATTTTTTCCAATCAACTTACTCTTCAGTCTGTCCTAATACTAATTCTTATCCTTATACTATTTCTTCCGCAAGTTATATACCTCCTCTAATTATTTCACACTCCTCTCTCCTATTAGCTATAAACTCTTTAAAGTCTTCTTACTCTCCTGGGCCGGACAATATTCCTAGTTGTCTTCTCAAGGAGTGTAGTTCTTCCCTTCTTTATCCATTGCCAAAGCTTTTTAATCTATCCCTTGAAACTTCTGTCTTTCCATCTCTTTGGAAAGAATCTTATATCATTCCTCTTCACAAGAAAGGTGGGAAGTCTGATATACGAAATTACAGGGGCATTGCAAAACTGTCCGCTATTCCTAAATTATTTGAAAAAATAATCACTTCGAATTTGCAGCATTTCTGCAAATCAGTTGTTTCCCCTGTTCAACATGGATTCGTAAAGAATCGGTCAACTACGACCAATCTGCTTGAGTTTACTTCCTTGGTAAACGATGCTTTCCTTTCGAAAATGCAAACTGATGTCATTTACACTGACTTCAGTAAGGCGTTTGACTCTGTGCACCATGACATTTTACTTTTTAAACTTGACCGAATAGGTTTCCCCCTGTCTCTTTTGCTTTGGATTAATTCTTATTTAAAAGGTAGGACCCAAAGAGTAATGCTGAGGTTGACTACCTCTAACCGGGTTCACGTTACTTCTGGTGTTCCTCAAGGTAGTCATCTTGGACCTATACTCTTTACCCTTTTTATAAATGATCTCCCCTCTGTTATATCACATGCCCGAGTACTCATGTATGCGGACGATGTCAAACTTTTTCTATCATACACTAATCCCCTACATCATTCTCGTCTACAAGACGATTTGAACGCTATGCAACTATGGTGTTCGGCCAATCAATTGCATCTAAACTGTTCAAAGTGTATGTTTATGACTTTTAATCGTACTACACCTTATCTTGTCAGTTATACAATCGACAATATCCCTTTGCAACGTATACTAACAGTTAAGGATCTAGGCGTAATTTTTGATTCTAAACTCTGTTTCAATCTTCACATAGATACCATCGTTAATGAGGCAAAAGGTGTACTTGGATTCATTAAACGATGGTCTAAATAGTTTAACGATCCTTTTATAACAAAACTTCTGTACATCTCTCTTGTTCGCCCTATCCTTGAATACTGCTCTTGCATTTGGTCTCTACAGTATAACAACAGCCAGGATCGTATTGAATCTGTTCAGAAGCAATTTCTGCTTTTTGCCTTACGAGGTTTAAATTGGGACCCTAATCTTCGGTTGCCGTCCTACTCCAGCAGACTGCTTCTTCTCAACCTTCCGTCGTTAACCAACCGTAGGACAATTCTCGGTGTTGTCCTTCTACATAAGTTGATTATTGGCGACATAGATTCTCCTTTTCTGCTAGCGCGTCTTCAATTCTCTGTTCCGGCTAGACCAACCAGAAATTATCGCCCCTTTTTACTATCTACGTGCACAACAGACTACGCTATGCACAATACTTTTCGCGTGCTATGTAAAAATTATAATAGTTTGCATCACGTTTTCTCTACCGAACTGTCTCTACCCCTAATAAAATCGTTGCTTTCAGGATACCTTCGGGAAGTCGCTGACCATTCCCAGCTATGAGCAGGGGCATAGCTTGCCGGACAGGCTAAAAAATTTTCCCCCACCGGGTCGGTGATTTCCCATTACTTTTCTCTCTGTCCTATCTAGTTAACACTCTTTATCTAACTTACATTGCTTTACTTTATTAACAATCTTCTTACTTTCATTTTTCCTATTTATTGTATTTTCTTTATTAATATAGCAAATTAAGATTATTTTAATGTTACTTGAAAACACTTTTTTTCCTACTTACAACCTTCTGCTTAGATGTAGGCTCTAATAGCGTCACTGACAAAATTAGCTGTGAAAAGGGGCACAGCTGGCCGGACTGGCAAATAAAACACCTCCATCGGTCGGTGATGCTATTTAGAAAATTGTATCCTTTAACTAGGCTTTTAGCATAAAATTCTATTGTAGAATCTATTGAATAATGAGGAAGACACTCGTTTTGTCGACCATTAATAAATAAATAAATAAAAAGGTCCAAGATGACTACCTTGAGGAACACCAGAAGTAACGTGAACCCGGTTAGAGGTAGTCAACCTCAGCATTACTCTTTGGGTCCTACCTTTTAAATAAGAATTAATCCAAAGCAAAAGAGACAGGGGGAAACCTATTCGGTCAAGTTTAAAAAGTAAAATGTCATGGTGCACAGAGTCAAACGCCTTACTGAAGTCAGTGTAAATGACATCAGTTTGCATTTTCGAAAGGAAAGCATCGTTTACCAAGGAAGTAAACTCAAGCAGATTGGTCGTAGTTGACCGATTCTTTACGAATCCATGTTGAACAGGGGAAACAACTGATTTGCAGAAATGCTGCAAATTCGAAGTGATTATTTTTTCAAATAATTTAGGAATAGCGGACAGTTTTGCAATGCCCCTGTAATTTTGTATATCAGACTTCGCACCTTTCTTGTGAAGAGGAATAATATAAGATTCTTTCCAAAGAGATGGAAAGACAGAAGTTACAAGGTATAGATTAAAAAGCTTTAGCAATGGATAAAGAAGGGAAGAACTACACTCCTTGAGTAGACAACTAGGAATATTGTTCGGCCCAGGAGAGTAAGAAGATTTTAAAGAGTTTATAGCTAATAAGAGAGAGGAGTGTGAAATAATGGGAGGAGGTATAGAACTAGCGGAAGAAATAGTATAAGGGTAAGAATTAGTATTAGGACAGACTGAAGAGTAAGTTGATTGGAAAAAATTAGCAAAGAGGTTAGCAGAATCAGTGTCATTGCTAGCTTTATCCAAGCCAAGAAAAATAGAAGATGGCAAACTTGAAGATTTACGCTTCAAGTTTACAAAATTATAAAACTGTCTCGGATTTTGGGCAAATTGCCTTTTACAACGAGTTAGATAATTCTCATTGCATTAAGAATTAAGAATAAAGAAGTTCGACTTTTTAAACTTTTTAAAATATTTAGATTTTACATTTTTTAGATGTGATAGTCTGGGAGTAAACCAGGGTGGTTTGGAAAAAGAAGTCGAAGGAATTGACTTAGGAATACACACATCTAAGAGGGAGTTTCAAAAACCTTAACTTGTAGCTGATCTTTGATATGGCAATTATATGATAAAGTAGTCCGATCCGGCCAGCTCTGGGACATGTACTTAGATTGAGAGAAAGGCTTTCATAAAAAAACAGATAGACGGACGACTATGGCTATTTCCACTCGGAACTCGTTAATACTGATCAAAAGATTATCTGATTTTATTCCTTTTACAATTCAATAGAAAATAAATCATACGACAACATCGACAAGATATTTCCCAAAGTTTCAGAATAAAAATGTTTTAAATATTAATTAAAATGCAATTAAATGAATGCCCTGTTTTAATGAATAGATATTAAAGTCGAACACAATTTCTTTAACACCCGGGCTTGGGGAAAATCAATGTTAGACAATTTGCGTGCTACTTTAATGTGGCCCGATCCCCAATCAATGCCACAATCAGCCCCAGACACCCCCTTATCCAGGGCCTGTTAATCACACACCTATTAATACGCTTATCTCACGTGTGCTTTGTACGTGACAAAGGCTCTGCCCGAAATCAGCTCAAATTGCGATTTCGATTAACAAGAAATCAACTTGATTTTGTTTTTTTTTCTGCTCTGTTCCCAAATCAATTTCAGCATCGCATCCACAGATGAGAGCAGCGGCCACAGCCACCGCCCCAGCCACAGCCACTGCCACAGCCACGGCCGACAGTTTCGATGAGAGCGGCGTGGACACGTCCTCGTCGGCAGCTGTTGGTTTCCCGGCTCAAGTGTCGTCCTTGCTGCCCGAGGTCGGCGCCCTGTCGGCGACTGGTGCCCTGGTGGAGCCCTATCTGGATGGCTATGCCACATCGAATGTGACCACGCAGATTGGCACCCATGCCTATCTGCCCTGTCGGGTAAGCGGCAACCTAATCATTTCTCTTTATTTGCACTCGTATTTCATAATTTGTAGCTTGGCTTATTCTCATGTTTCTAGTGAACAGTTTTCTTGGATTGCGTGCATGTTTTTGTTTGTAATTATCGGTAGGTCCTGTTCCTCTACAGCTCCTACTGCGTCTCTCTGTTTGCCCATTAACATCTCGACCATAGGAAACACATTAAATTTTATTGCGTAAATATTTGCCGAACAACTCGAGGCACTCGGCCATGAGGTGTGACCGCGTCGTGTATTTAACACAAAGCTGAAATACAAATGCCACCTAAATATACCCCACCCCCTCCCCCTGCTCACCTAGCAGGGTACTATGTGAGGGGGGGGGGGGGGGGGGGGGGATTATGGGCGGTCTCGCACTGTGTTTACGCAGGTGTTTAAAGGTCAACGCCGGCCAACAGGCATCCAAACATGCAAATTGTTTGCTTAGAAGTTGTAAATATTGTATTGCGGTCAACAACGGCAGCAACAATAACAATAACGAAAAGCCGAAAGCTGAAATTAAATTTACACAAATTAGTTTTATGGCATTACGTGCTTTGTCCAAACTCAACAAATGATATAATATCCCTTGACTCGTTTCAACTGATATGCGCGCAAAATCCAAATGTATGTAACAGGCAGTAGGAAACATCTCCGACCCCATTAAGTATATATATTCTTGATCAGCACCAATAGCCGAGTCGATCTAGCCATGTCCGTCTGTCTGTCTGTCCGTCTGTCCGTATGCATGAACGCAAGGATCTCAGAACCTATAAGAGCTAGAGACTTGAAATTTTAGATGTAGGTGCTCCTAGTGCCTGAGCAGATCGTGTTTGTTTCCGATAACCGATCACTTACTCCATTTCCAAGCAATCGATAAAATTGATATCGATATTCTGTTTTTGGGCAATTTTGGTAAATAATAAGAGCTAAAGTCACCAAACTTAACATATAGCTTCTAAAATAGAATATGCATTTGATGTTGGAAGAAGAGGTTTTAGGGTATCCCCTAGTCGGGAGCTCCCGACTAGAACCTCTTACTTGTTATTATATCAGTTTCGAATTATTTATATAAAAAACATAAATATAGACATTTTCCAATAATCTTTCGCTTGGTAACGCTCAAGAAACGATACCAGCGAAGTTGAACCAGCCACCTTCCGCTTGCCATTCCGATGAGCAGGCAATCTGATTAAGCTTGTTTGCTGTTGTTTCTTGCTGATTTTTTAACAGTCTTAATCAAACATTTTTCTCTACTTGGAGCTCGAGTTCGCAAAAATCTCTTTACTTTATTTCAGTTTATTACATTTCAGCTGCCCAGCTCTTTCGGCTTGGGCTGTACATTAATCACCAGTCATTGCAAACTCATTTATTAGTATAAATGAAGATAGCTAAAGTGTGATATTTTTATAGCGCTTTAAACACTATTGAAATGAATGACATGACGTCGAAGCTGCTACTAAGTATGCACAATATCTGTTCAGACTGATGTCTGTGCGCATTTGAAATAATTATAAATATCACGCCCCAGTCCAATTTGTATCTCGAACAGAGTCATCAATTTTTGGCATTCCGGAGTGCCCTTAATTGGCCGCCAGGTCAAAGGCAAAATGAAATTCAAATTCTTGAGCGGCTCGGCTCGCACACTAATTGTGGCCTTGGCCATTAATCGTTTGGGTGGGCGGCGGTACTTCGACTCAACTTGAAACTGGCGAAAATATATATTAAATGCATAGAGCCAACAGCTTGTGCTGTAATTTTCCCTAAAACGAAGCAATGTTAATTTTTCGTTGTCATGGTCAATTAAGTGCCGGCACTTCGTAGACAGCTGGCACACGCCCTCACCCAGCAGTCAGCATCCAATTTGAGGAGGAAACTGAAGGAATGAATAGGTCGCATCTCAATGTTTGTCAATTACGGGTACTCATTCGTTCGTTTTGCACTTGATGCCCAACGTTGAGCTGCGTTGCATGCGGCTCTTTGTTCGGCTGCCACATTAAGTGGCACAGTTGAGCGACTTCTTGCCTCTGAAGCTGACCGGGACTGAAGCCCCTTTTGAAATTGCTCGCACTTGTGCTCCGGCTGCTTGCTAATGTCAGTCGAAGGACGTACAGCACTGTGCCACTACATGGCACTATGCACAGGTAGCAATTGGGCTATTCCATGCATCCCAAGCAGCAGCTTATTGTAATTCCCACCAAGTTTAAGACTTGTCAAGGTGCGCACACAATGCAGGTCCTTCGAGTCAAGCTCTCAGCCAAGTGCGATAGTTCTTTTTATTGGTCTGTTGTCACATCGAATGAAACATGAATTTAATTTGAGCATATTTGTTTATAAGTACTTGTGCCATAATTAAATCTGGCATACATGCTGTGCCTAATAAGTTCATTGCAGGCCAAATAACAGGTCAGCTCGATGTAATGGCATCTACGGAATGGGCGCAAAATCAATGCCAAAGTGTTGAATAGACAAAATAATTTTCATGTAAATTCAACAAACCAAAATGTATGCACACATACATGTGTATGCGGGTGTGTGCGTCTGACTAAATGCATTTTAGATTTACTTACTACGACACATTTCGATAAATATCAGTGTTTCTCGGGGGGGTGGGGGGAGGTTGTTTAGTGCTCGGTCTGGCTGTCTGCTTGATAAGTTTCATGTTCAGTTTGGTATTTAATTACATTTCAATGTTGTTTCTGTATCTGCCAGACCTCGCATACATTTTGGCGCATTAATTTACTCCCGGTTTGGGGCTGGAAAATCTGGCTTTGACCAATTTGCTAGTCAACCACGCCCATCTCGCCCACACTTGTTGCTGGTAGTTGGAAGACTTTTAATCCTGTAACTACCGCACGTGATTCCTTTGAGTTTGTGTCATATAATTAAACCGGCTTCAGGTTGTATCTTTGAGTTGTTGCGAAAGTTAAAGTTAATTTTATTTACTCTTTACTTTGTGTAAGCATGTCTTCTTAAATGTTATAACCTTGGCAACCCCCAAAACTTTAATTAAATAGAACGAGTTTCGAGTCCTCAAAGTAAGGCATCGACTCTATAGTAAAATTATCAAGAGGGTGCATAGTTTAACACATGTCGCTTGTAAATATGACATAAAATTTTTAAATTCTTATCAGTTTCCCACCTGGCTAAAGATTACTTTTGAATAGAACAGTCAATAATTAAATATTTTAATACAATTTAATTTTATAAATTTAAATTATAAATATAACCATAATAAATAAATCAATAGAAAATTGTTAGTTTTAAAGTAATGAAATAAATAGGATATCTACAATTTTTAAATATTTTTATTGCATTCAATAAATCAAATTTATTAATAAATTATTTATGTACATTTAATCTATTTTTTTTTTAAATAAAGCATTTTAAATATTTTATTTTTAGGCAATATAAACTAATTAATCATTAAAAGATGAAAATGTTGGCTTATGCTTGAAACTGTTCCATTCACAGGTAAAACAGCTTGGTAACAAGTCCGTATCCTGGATTCGTTTACGTGATGGCCACATACTCACGGTCGACAGGTAATTAACGAAACCAAATTATTGCCGAACAAATGAATAATTTTCATAACCAAATTCCATGGCTATGGTAAAATTTAAAATTATTTGTATGATTTTAGCATCAGTTTCTGGCTTAGGAACAGTGCCAATTAACAAATTTAGTTATGCTGTGTGGAATATAAATCAGAATATTGAATATAGAAATTATTATTTGCTCAGATTGACACCCAGAAGTGAATGCAAATATGTACAAATATGTTCGCATATTAGCTTTGATATACATTACAAAATGTCATTTGCAATTCAATCGGCTTATGAATTTATCAGCTCAATTCAGGGTATTCAAAACTATCTACATTGTTCCAGCGCTGAACATAGGCTTATGAATACTAATGAATATTTAATGAATGGCTGCAATGTGAACCAGTTGCTCACTTCAAAGTGAAACCCCTTTTAATTACTCCGACATCTCTCAAGCTCTGGTTAAAGATGCTTTGGCAAATGATACAAGAGACGAAGATGTGGAATTAAATTTGTAGCTCAAGTTACTTTAAGAAGAGATGCAGCTAAAGGTACATTCGCATAACGAATTCAAGATGCTTTAATATAAGATACAGATAAAACAGAAATGCTATATTTTTTCAGCAAAAGATACCTTTGCATAGTAAATGCACATAAGATACTTAATTTTAGTACTGCTTAAAGAAATGGTAAAAGATACTTCGATAAAAAAATAAAAAACTTCACTTGAGCAAATAAAAGACACTGCTTTTATTTGCATTGACATAGTTAAGATACTTTCACATAGGATACAAAAGCAGATTAAAAAGCATTCTGGTATTTTTCTAAGACTCTTGTTTTGTTTCACTTGTGAAATTCTCTTCATACAAAAACAATTTGCAGTAAATTGAATGAAGTGTGCCAAGTGGCAACATGTACTTCAATTTCAATCTGCGTGTCCAATAAGAAGCCAGCCAATGCGTCAGGTGAGTTCTCAATGAAGCCAGTTCTGTATGAGTGTTCAGGTGTGCGTGCCTCTGTATGTATGTGTGTGTGTCCAATGTCCTTCCCGTTCTGACATGCGAAGCGGAAACACAAGTGTGCGCAATTTCATTGCATTTTTTGAAATCCTGAAAAACTTTATTTAAAAGTGTCTGCGTTTTTAGTTTGGTCCCTTAGTTCCTTATAATACCATGCATCGATGACCAAAAGGGGTGTTTGTTTTGAATAAATGTTTATAAAAGGGTAGCATCTTCGAGCTCAAAAAGTATAAATATAGTTAATCAGAACGACAAGCTGAGTCAATCTTGCCTACATAAGCTGAAGTCTTTTAATATGGGTAAAAATCGATTTTAATGAAAGTTTTATAAGCATAACAAAAAACTATAAGAGCAAGGTAGACTAAAATTGATTGATAGATTCTCCTTTAATATGTACAAGTTTTAAATAATTAACTTCTTGACTAACTCACCCCATTCCCAATTAAATTGGAAAAGTATTTAACTGACAAGCTTGGGCTTTGGTATGTTCACACTTTTGTATGCCATATGTTGGCCCTGAAAATTTTAGGAAGATCGGACTGAAGCTTAAAGGCACCCGAGCTAATAGAAATTGTATTTGTCATATAGAGAAGTAACGTCAGCTTGGCGCTGTGCATAGGGTATCTCCTAGACGAGAGCACTTTTGTTTTTTATATTTCATCCCAGTTGAACGCTGTTTTAGTCAACGTTTGCTTTTTTTATGTGCACATATGTGTGTGTGTGTGCGTGTGTGTGTGTGTCCTGGTTGGGTAGCCAACATTTCCAGCTTATTACTTTGATAGAAAAGTAAAACCAATGAACCTTTCACATTAGATAAGGCGGCTGCCTGTTTGTCTGCCAAACGGATGAATGGCTGTGCTCGAATGAATGACTGTGTCCTCAGCAAGAACCTACACACACAGACACTGCTTGCAACGGACTGTTGCAGCTGCAGCTGGGCAAACAGAGGACCATTGAAATTAAGCCCAGATAGTGTGTCCTTACTGATTGCTTCCTATGTGCCGCAGTCTGCCTTCCTGCACAGCCACTTCCGTCCTGGGTCGATTGTGTGTGCGTGCCCTTTCCTGCTCCAATGTCTTATGTCACATTTATCTAGAAAGTTTTCTTATTCTGCTGCGCTTCGCAAGATGCTGTCCTCACCTCACAGCCCCCTCTAGCCTCTAGCTCACATCTCACACATAATGAAAATAGATTTCAAAAAAGTTTCTGCCACTGTCACGTTGCAGTGCCAGGACTCAGTCGCCTCATCGTCCTGCAGCCTGGAATGTGCATTGTGTAATAGCTCAAATGATGTGTTTACACTTTCATATAAATGTCACGTGCCTGGCGCCTTTTGTTTGCCCGCTGGACGCACTGCTTGCAATTTATTGTCATCGCACAATTGATTACTTCTGTTTGCATTTGGCCCAAAGTCCACACAAAGATATAGATACACGTGGAGGAACTGTCTGACACTCGTCCTGTCTTTGCCCTAGGACTGGGTAATTACGTTCAGGTGTTGCTTGACTACTTGTTGTCGGTTATCTTGGCACCTGGGCTGCATGTCATTTATTTACCAGGGGGAGTACTTAATACGCAATCAGCCCAAGCACCGACGACCTTTTGTAACATTGCTCTGTAAGATATTGTTGGTAATTAAGGCAAATATTTATACTTTATGACAGCTAAATGGAAATTTCCAGTTGTAACAGGGTTCATTGCACTCTGGGTCGGTGCATGATTTGTACTGATTGGAATACATAGGTATTTAATGCTAAAATAAATTGACCCTAATGCGAGCCAGCCGATAAGCCATAAGCATCACATGTCCGCGTTGGATAACAATTGAGGACTCTAAAACCAAAATAAATTTTTAACATTTTTGTAAATTTTTTATAATATTTATATTTTTTAATTGCATTTTGTTGGAGTCATCATTTTAAATCTCAACCAACCTTAAAAGCTTTACACCTTTAGTGGAAATAAATAACAGAATAATATTAATTGTGATAATGTGATATCTGACTTAAAATTCTTTTACTGGCCAGGAGTGTAATAGCTGACATTCATAGTAATACACCATTTGCCCTATTTATTGTCGTCATAAAAACCCTATTAAAAACAAAGTAAAGAGCATAAAATAATAGCAATATCATAAAGTTAAACTTTTTAAGCATTTACATTGTTTTTTCCTTTTATGACCCACCTTTGAGTAAAAACAATAAACAACACAACAAATACCAATATGATATGCAAATTTTTGCTATTTTATTAACACGTATTTTATGTGTATTTGCTGTAGTTTTTTATGCAAAACTGGAATTTTTTCTAGAATCAAAAACTTGTCGAAACTTTTTATAAAAACTTTCGAGTTGTTATACCCTGAACCCATTAAAAAAGGGTATAAGGGTATATTGTATTTGTGCGAAATCCAAATGTATGTAACAGGCAGAAGGAAGCATCTCCGACCCCATAAAGTATATATATATTCTTGATCAGCACCAATAGCCGAGTCGATCTAGCCATGTCCATCTGTATGTCCGTCCGTCCGTCCGTATGTATGAACGCAAGGATCTCAGAACCTATAAGAGCTAGAGACTTGAAATTGAATATAGCTTCTAAAATAGAATATATATATGCATTTGATGTTGGTAGAAGAGGGTTCAGGGTATCCCCTAGTTGGGAGCTCCCGACTAGAACCTCTTACTTGTTTGTTTTGTTCCTTTTGGAACGCAACATAAACTGCAGATGGAAACTTATGTTGTTACGGGTCACTTCCTGACACTTGGCTAAGAAAAATTCTAAAAAGAAAAAAGAAAACGAAAACATCGGGCAAGAGCGAAAGAAATGCAGAGATTTACTGAGGTTTGAGGGAAAGTGGAATGTTGTAAAAATATGGAAAATAATGTGGGGGAAAAGTCAACGGTGCGAGGCCAAACTTAAAAACGAGATGAAAATTATAAAGTAACTACAAAATCTGGATAAGAAATACTGCAATTGGTTGACTTTTAGGGGCCGGTGGCAGGAGGAGTTGTAGAAGCCCGGCTGGTTAAGCAGAAGAGCTGGACTATGGGCGGAGCGGGGTACAAAGGAAATGGTAAAAGTCATAAAATGTCGAGTTTTACGAGTGCAAAACGCAAGGGTCTAATCTGGGTTTAGTATCAAAACTTGTTAGTGCAAAAAGGAGGTACAAGAGAGAGAGAGTGAGTAAGAGCGAGAGCGGGAGATGTGTTGGGCGACTCCAGGCAAAGTGAGGAGCTTGAAGCAGAGTGCCTAATAAGCAATGTCAATGCATGTGTGCAATGCCAGAGACCTAGGCAGGGGGGGTGCGTGTTTTGGCACGAACGCTTTAGTTGCTGCACTTTCAACTGAAGACGGAAGCATTTTTGCACTTTGCGCAAATGGCAGAGGGAAACTTCCGGGCGAGCGCCGCACAAAAATATTGCAACAATGACATTAAATGCAACTTATTTCAGTGGACCCCTAAACAAGCACCACCTCCTCCCGCCCACCGCACATTCATTTGCATGCTGGCAAATGTTGTTGTTGCAACAACTTTGTTGGTCTAGCGGGATGGGGGCAGCTGTTTAAATGCAGCAACTAAATAACTTTGAGTGTCTTTTGAGTGGCCATTAGCAGCGGAGCTTAGCGCGTAAGTGGGCCTGTTTTTATTGCCGTTGCTGTTATTGTTGCTGTTGCTCGAGTGGGCCGCATTCAACGTGCGTCGCAATGGCTGCCTTCGGGCTCAAACTGGGTGGGTGCGTGTCCTGATTGCTTACAGCGAGTTTTAATATATTTTTCCAGTGTAACATATAGGAAATGTGAAAGCCAAAGGCTGAATTGTTTGCCTCTCCAGCCCAGATATAAATTACCTTAGCTTTCCTTCAAAAGTAGGGTAACTTATTTTGCTTTATCTCTCTTCCTTTTATAAATTATTTTAATTCATGTTAATAGCGCATGACCTGAGCAGCGCTGACCATATAGTTTTAGTTGTGAGCCCACGTGCAGAAAAGATATTTAAAAACCATGCGAATTAAATGTTGCTTATAACTTCTTTTATTGCAGAGCTGTGTTCATTGCGGATCAGCGCTTTCTGGCGCTCAAACAGCCAGATAAATACTGGACGCTGCAAATCAAATATGTGCAGGCGCGGGATGCGGGCATCTACGAGTGCCAGGTCTCCACGGAACCCAAAGTGAGCGCGCGCGTGCAGCTGCAAGTTGTTGGTAAGTGGCGACGTCCTTGGAAAAGGACACGGACATGGGCACAGGCGGAAACAGGGAGGGTGGAGAGGGAGACGGACACGGACATAAGATTGAGTACTGAACTAGTTCCTGCCTCACTCCGGGACAGAGAGCATATTGAGCGTATGCAATTAAGGTATAATATGAAAGGTCAAGGGGCAGCATCCATGCATATATATAAACACATGCATATATATGAGATAAGTATATTTTTATATATATATTTGTGTATGGGGGAAAGTTTTTGACCTGGTTGGGACCTTGGGCCATGGCCACGTTAGGCACGACTGGCCAGCACCAAAGCCAGACATTCGAAAAGACTGTCAGTGCAAGGGGTCGAAGGGTCACACACACTCACACATGCGCACACACACTTGCTTGGAGTTCTTTGCATTTTTCATGCGGCTGCTGCATTCGCAATTGCTCACGAAATTGCATTCAAATTGCGGTGCCTGCTGCATTTCCATTCAAACTCTTTTTTGACCAGAAATTTCTACCAAGTTTTTTAACGAGAAAACTTTTGTGTGAGCTTCACTTCTTGGGTTTGTTAGGCACACTCAAACGCACGGAGGCGCACTTGAGGCCCGGACTAAAGAAGTTAATTAAATTTCATGTTTGCACACACAAAACACACACTCATACACGCACACACAACCAGCAAAATTGACCAGGGTAAACGCCTTTGGGGTAAAATAAAATTGGACTCGAGCCTCTGAATTGCTCACTTGTAATTGACAATAAACGCTTCGAAGAATAATTGAATGAACGAAAACCTGTGCACAATTTTCTTACCCAAGATATTTCGGTTTAAAGGCAGCAGCTGTTTCCAACTAATTGGACATGGTTCAAGAAAATTTCTCAAGTTAACAGTCACTCCCGCCATTTAGTAAAGAAGCTTAATTTTGTAATTAGGTTCTATTAGCTACGAGATATTTTGAAAATAATAAATACATCTAGAAAATCATATAAAAAGGAAGCAAGCCTAGTGGAGATCATAATCCAAAACTATATATGTAAAGAAAATATGAAGATTAAACTATATTATACTAAATATAGTATGTCGAGTTATTCTACAGATATATGCATTTTATTTTAATTTTTGTATTATTCTTCTATTTTATTTTATTTTTCATGTATTGAAAATATGAATGTCTTATAAGATAGCTAATATTATTTGCAGAATATTCGTTAATATCTTTAATTTTAATGTGCCTTATTGTGGGCTAAAAGGGATCGATACCTTCCAAGCTCTACCAAGCCATCTCTTCTGATCTGTTCTGTGACAATATAGAGTATATTTACAATATTTTATAATTAGTCTTAATTAAAGACTGCATCAGTTAAATTTCCTTTTCGCAGCTCTGATTTGTAAGAAGACATACAAATAAATAATTAGAGTGAAAAATTAATTTTTTCAATAATACAATATAAATTTAAACGAGAAAGAAAGGCTATCTTCGGCACGCCGAATATCTAATACCCTTGCAGACCCAACCTTTTCATAATGCTTATAGGCTTTGCCCGTGTCTAAGAAGCACAGGGAAAATAGTTAATGCCGAACTTAATCAAGATATCTTGATAAACAAAAAAGGTTTTTAATTCAAAACCTAGTCTTTGACCGATCGTTCCTATGGTAAATATATTATATAGTGGTCCGATCTTAATAAGAGTTTGCCTAGGAGTAGTAAAGTAAAATAAATTAATAACGAGTTATGTGCTGCATGCAACAGAAAGAGGGACGTCTGCAGAGTTTCATAAAGATAGCTTTAAAACTTGGGGACTATTTCGCATAGAAACAGACAGACGGACAGATGGACATGGCTATATCGACTCGGCTGTTGATGCTGATCAAGAATATATATAGACTTTATGGGGTCGAAAATGTCTCCTTCTATGCGTTACACATTACACGACAAAATTATAATGCCCTCTGCAAGGGTATAAAATAATATAACATAAGTATAAATAAAACGTTGCATTATGTACAAGTTATGTAGCAAGTACCAACCCAGGAATTATTGCTCAAGGAGTATATTTTTAAATTGCTTCTTTATTTTTATATAAGATCCACATTTTTATACTCTGAACCCATTAAAAATGGGTATAAGGGTATATTGTATTTGTGCGAAAGCCAAATGTATGTAACAGGCAGAAGGAAGCATCTCCGACCCCATAAAGTATATATATTCTTGATCAGCATCAATAGCCGAGTCGTCTGTCTGTCCGTCCGTCCGTCCGTCCGTCTGTCTGTCCGTCCGTCCGTATGTATGAACGCAAGGATCTCAGATCCTATAAGAGCTAGAGACTTGAAATTTTAGATGTAGATGCTCCTAGCTCCCGCGCAGATCGAGTTTGCTTCCGATAATCCGATAATCGATACTTACTTCTTAGCAATCGATAAAATCGATATCGATATCCTGTTTTTTGGGCAATTTTCGTAAATAATAAGAGCTAGAGTCACCAAACTTTACTTGGAAGAAGAAGGTTCAGGGTATCCCCTAGTCGGGAGCTCCCGAATAGAAAATCTTACTTGCTTGTAATATATTTTTTTTATTTGAAAAGAATCGGCCAGCAATTTTAGGTAAAAAAATATCACGCTTAGATCCACACTGATAGCCAAATTGAATTTAGTTACATACAAAACACTTAAACTTTTATAGACCGAGATAAAGAGAAAAAACGTAACATAAAAAAAATAACATAAGGCTGCAGAGAGAGCGCAGACTCGATAATGCGCTGCCAAAAGTGATTTTCGCATTTCCGGTTCAGCTAATTTGTATGCTAAGCACTTGCCCCTAAGTGTGTATGCGCGCGTGTGTGTGCGTGTGTAACAATTCAGCGGCAGCGTGACTAACAGCAGGACGCCACTGTAATGTGACAGCGGCGCCCAACAGGTATGCCAGCGAATGGGCAACTCGTGCCAAATGCTCGACAAGGCTTGACAGGCAGGCACAAAGGTCGTGGCATGAGGGACGAGGGGGAGCGAGATGTTGTAAATTATGTATGCGCGGCCACATTTTGCGTTAATCTAACGACAAGTTGAACGCATAAAGGATTTCGATGCGTGCCCAAAACCGAGTGCCGAATACAATAGAATTTGGTTGCTGCCACCGGATTGGGTTGTGGTGCGGAAGAGGGGTCTCTAGCCTTTAGCCTTTTGCTATTTGTGGAAGCTACTTTCTTGGCCAGCAACCGGCACAGCGAACCATTATTTGCAGTCATTTGGCACAGCGCCGGCAACTCGTGGTCCAAGTTGGCTGGTTGGATGCTGGGACTCCTTTTTTGCTTGGGTTGTGTGTTTTCCCACTCGGCTGCCATAACCATTATCGGCAGCACCTAGTTCCCTAGTTCCCTGTATGCCCCATTGCTCCTTTGCTGCCTTCTCCTTTATTCTCTGCACTTTTTCTCGTGCCTCTATCTCTCTCTCTCTATCGCTCTCGGATTTTTTGATTTTGTGCCTTGCCATGTAATTTGTATTTATTGCATCGTTTTGTCTGTGCAAACGACTAAAACTCCCTTTGCATGTTGTCGATTTGAGTCGTCCCCTCTCCCCTCCGCCCGTCCGCCTCTACTACCCACTCTCTAGCAGTGGCTGCCCAATTGCCAATGTATTTTATGCTGGGCTCCGTTTGCTTTTGGCCTGATGCTTGATTTCTGAGCCCTCTTGGCCATTGGCTCGTTGGGGTAATGGGATCGTAGTTTTCGGTCAATTTGTTATGCCAATGCGAGTGTGTGTGTGTGAGTGTATATCTCTGTGCACGTGAGTGTGTGAGTGACTTTTTTTTTCCTTTTGGTTAAAATGTCAGTTTCTTTGGTTTTGGCTCATTTACTTGATGTTCTGCTCGCACAATGGCCAACTACAGCTCGGGGACTGACAGCGAAATAATGAATTCCATTTATTTTTTAATTTTTAGGGTAAAAACATCTCTATAATTAAAATATTTTATGCCTAGGGCATGCTTTGGCGTCGAACAAGTGATTAAATATTTAATTATTTAGTTTTCTGTATATTAATTTTTGTCCAAAAACTCGTATCTTTAATCTTTTTAATTTTTGTATGCATGCAGCCAAAATCTTTTGACGCACAAATTTCAATTTTGGCCCATTGTGCGTTAATGTATATTCGCATTTAGCCGAACACCCACACACTTTCATTGGCATTGAATGAATATATTTTTTCTGCATCATTGAACGACAAACTAGATTTGGTTTTATGAGATTTGTTTTCTGCTCATCTCGTTGGGTTTCCAGCTTCTGCTGCCCCAACCCACCCCCCTCTAGCATCTTCCCCTCCCTTAGTTTTTTGTGATTCTCATTCATTTACAGGATTTGGCTCTGTTCGTCTGCTTATTTAATTTGCTGCTAATCTTGTATAGTCAAAGCCAATTTTTTGTGGCCAGGCCCTGCGCGTTTCTTTTTTTCTGTTTTTCTGTTGCTTTCGGTTTTTATCTCGCCATCGAAAGTGACAATTTCGCAGTAATGTTAACGGCCAAACGCAGCAGCCTCTGCACCCGGATGGGCTGCCCATTTCAAACTTAACTAATTATCCTAAAAGCATTTTGCCATAAACCCAATTAATTTAAGTTAGTGTAATTCGCTTTACACTATATAGCAGGCCCTGCCCCGCCCTATAGTGTAGTTCCCCTTCCTAATTTGCGCCCTTTGTTCAGTTGGGAACTCGCTGAAATTGTGTTTACCACCTTTGAAAGTTTCTTTTATTTTATCAGCGATTGCTGTTTCGTGGTTCCCGCTTTATCGCCACACCATCTTTATATTTCCATAACCTGTTTAAAACTAAAACGATTTTCATTTGGACTATTTTCACAAGAACATTGTTATTACGGCTTGTACTCTAAGCTAAGACTACATTAAGAATCCTTTTGTGTTTTGATATTAATTATTTTCTAATTGCCTTGCGATCATATCGTGTAATACGCCTTGCTTATTTTGAGGAAATAGTTTTTTCCTATGTTTAATGACATTTTAGAAAATTTTTATATAAGAATAGCATTTTGTATGCTTCTAGAGGAATCAGCAAAAATATGTCAAAATATTTCCAAGTAAATTATGGATATGGGAAAGAAAATTCGATTTAATTCCGTTCTATACCTAAAAAGACTTTAAATATGCCCACCCCGTTCTTTCTATAGGGAAACTTTGATCTCAGTAAACAGTATTTGAAAGGGATAAACATCTAGAACTAGATACATTATCCACTCAATTTTGTGAAGAGAAGCCCAATGCATGCAATACATTTTACTTTATGCAAAAACTCAAAACGGCCGGAAAACAAATGTACAGAATGAACTGGGTCTGGGACTGGTATTGGGTCTGGGACTGGGACTTGGGGTTAAGGGACGCTAGCTAATAATATTGCATACGCTTTTAGCTGCGGCGCGCAACTAAAAGTCAAGCAACTGGAAAACTAACATGCACAACACTATGATTTTGACAAGCTGACACAGTTTGGTGTCAAACCAAAAGCTAAGAGCCCGCACATGCACATACACACAGAGAGACACACACACACACACACACACACACATGCGAGCAGACAGAATTTTGTGCAAATTCTCAGCGCATTCATTTTGCACAGTTTTGTATGTCTAACAACATTGAAAACCCGACGTATACGTGATTTTGTCGAATTCGTAAGCGCACGTCGCCGTTGGCCAGCCTGTGGCAGGGGCAGGGAGCAGGTTCCAGTGGCAACAGCTCGTGTGATGTGCAAATGTATGTAGCCAGAAATTCGAACTTTTGTCTATGTATTTTTTATAGCATACAAACTCGCATTTTGACACAACTTGCAGCTTGTAACTGACTGAGGCATAGTTTCTTATGCACGTGCGTGTATCCAGTGTGCGTGTGTGCGTGCGTGTGTGTGTGCGTGGGGTGAGCTGCTGGAATCAGTAAGTGAAAAATTGAAAAGTAGATTTGCCCCACCCCCAAACGCCAAGGAATAGGTGCGCAGATTTACGTGCGCGACGTGACTAGCAGCTGTTAATTCAATAGATTAACGCCAATGTCACAATTTCACACAGACACGAGCCGAATTTTCCATTGGGCTTCACTTGTAATGAACATCATCATCAGCATTAGATTGTTCAACATGGCGTTTGCCTTGGTTTACTTCGTTACAGTTCCTCGCACCGAAATACTCGGCGAACCGGATCGCTATGTCAAAGCCGGCAGCAATGTGGTCTTACGCTGCATTGTGCGCGGCGCCTTGGAGCCGCCAACGTTCATCATGTGGTACCATGGAGCCGAGCAACTGGCTGCGGATTCGCGTCGCCATCGTACGCAATTGGATCCGAATCTGCCAGAGGCCAGCGGTGAGGGTCAGAGCACGGTGAGTTCTGCCAATTGTTCCCTTGTTGATTTTAATTTAATTACACTTGATTTCAAATTGCTGCTCGACGTTTTCGTGCCCGTGCCCATGTCCCTGGCGTCGTCTCCGTGTCCGTCGTGCGTTAGAGCAAAATTACAATATTATTTCATACAAGTCGCATTTATGTCACATTCCTGCCACGCCCCAAATGCCATTCAAGGCAAATTTTGTGAATAGCTGAAAATTAGAGCTGCCCTTTGGACAACGTGACCCCGCGCTCTCGTTAAATATTTAGCCAACGTGTGAGAACAGAACTTGTCATAGAGGTGGCTCAAACCTGCCATTTTCATAGCTGTTTTTATTTCTTCTCTTATTTTCTTTCAGTTCTTTCAGGCAAGTTTTCAGCCTTGGCGATAAGTAGCGAGTTTTTCTACATTATATTCAAAAATTTGCATTTCTATTTTGGCTCATTTCAGATCGGCTCATTAATCATCGAGTCGGCCAAGAAGCGTGACACTGGCAATTACACTTGTAGCCCGTCAAACAGTCCCAGTGCGACGGTAACGCTCAACATTATAAATGGTAAGTCCTGCTTGATAAATATATTTTCGTTAAATTAATATATATCAAAGACTACGAGATGGCAAATCTTGTAAAATGTTTTTGTTAGCTGAAATCAGTTAGCTGAAATTAAACTCATTCCAATTTCAATAATTATTATAAAGTACACTTCATTTTTAATTCAAATTCAAAAATATAGTTTTATATATATAAACTTTCAATACGAATAAATTAATCAATGAAAATAAAATAAGTAAAAAATATACAAAATGAGTTGTTATGACAATTTTAGGGGAATCATCGGCATCGGCTGTGACGTCATCCGCACCCATCACACGTGCGTACACACTGGGCATCCTGGCATTGCTCCTCAGCGTTATCCTTATTGGGGCAGGACATCGCACATGACAAGTTGAGGCTGGAAGCAAACAGCAACCGATATAAGCTAAAACGAAAAGTAGCAGCAGCTACGATTTGAAGCAAAAATAATAAGTGCAGCCAACAGAAATCATAAATAAATAAAATGCAAAATCCAGCAGTAAACTATGCCATACAAAAATATTAAAACAAAATGCATGTTGTAAGCTAGTTGATTTTATCTGCTAACTAATATAATAAGCATACAAAACTTTACACACGACCTAGAAAAACTGCAGAGGAAACGAAACGAAAAAAAAATTGTTTGACAAGTTAAAAAATTCAACTAAATTGTAAGTACTACAAGCTCTAAGCAACTAGTCGTAAAACCTTAGAGCTAAGACAAAAATATAATACCTACATGCATGTATTTATATAAATTTAACTGATGTGGCATTTGGTTGTCGTCTTTGTGTATTGGCAAATATGAGTCTATGTGTATGTGTGTGTTTGCATAAATGCATAAAAGTAAATATTTACGCAACATCAAATGAAATTGCATCGGATGTTCTTATCAGCCAGTGCATGGCTTTGTGGACAGACGACGAGTCCAGTTGCAATCGAATAAAAAATAATATTTAATATTTGGCCATGCAGTTGGAAATGAATTTTTATTGCAAAATATTTACGTGTATGGCCAAGAGGAACAGAGAGCGGGGGCCCGCTGCATTATTCAAAAGGCCATCAAATGGCCTCTGCGCTGTTTGTCTTAAACAGAATTTGCTGCATTCCAATTGAAAAATTTGAAAACTGAAACACAGTGAATTTTGATTAGACACAAATATATTCAACTAAACTTTCAAATTGATTGAAACCTGTTCAGCAAAATTATTAAAAAAAAGTTGTAGTGAAATAAACTGCATTTTAAATGTTTTTTCATATAATGCAAATGCATTCCTAATGTTTTATAAATATAATTTAACTTTGCTTTGTCGTAAATCCAACGTTGTTTACATGTGTTCTGTTCCATAACTCAACTCAATTTATGTTTTGTTTGCCAAGTCATAAATACTTACAATATTTTGCAAACGTGCAATAAAACTCAAAAATTAACATAAGCAAAGAATATACAATTTAATAGATAACATTTTCAAAATAATTGATTGTGAGACTCGCATCAATTTGTTCGTTAGCATTAAGGTTCAACTGTATATACAACTGTATTGTAGAATGTAAAACTAGCATGTAAATTAATTGATTATACACATATAAAAGCATATTTAAAATACCATACATACATACGCATAAATGGCACACGAAGAGTTAAGCGCAGAGTATTCAAATTGCATTTAAAAGGCCACGAAAAAACAACTCGCAAAGTTTATCGAGTAAAAAGTTCATTGTGCAAAAGCAGACGAGTTGCATAAATTCGTATTTCTTTATACACTCAACGCCATTTGATAATTATGCGAGTCAAAGCATAGACAAAAAATTTTATAATATACGAAAATGTAATAACAATTTAATTGCGACAACAGAAAGCCATAAAATTAACCAGTTCAATACAAACAAAAAAGTCGTAAGCGTTGTCTTTCAATTGGATTTTTTTCTGAGCGCAGCAATTGCAATTAAGTTGAGTACCAAAACGAGAGCCAAATGCAAAAAAGCCAAAAAGTTTATACGCAGAAAAAACAATAAGCGCTTAATTGCAAATAGTCGCTGTGCCAGAACTTAAAGTCCAAATAATCGAATGTACATTAATTATTTTCAATATAATATATATATATATATATATATATATGTGTGTGTATGTGTGTGTACGTGTATGTGCATGTGTGTGTGGCGTCACGGGGCGTATGAGTGACCTGTCGGTCATTAATAAAATCCAACCACAAGCAGCTGCGACTAAATGAGGCAACAACACTGTGGTCAACAGCCTGTGGCGCCACACAATTTCCTTTTCCTTTTATTCTTTTTTTCTCTCGGCAAATAATCACGCATCAAATGTTTGCGGTCTCTGCGGTCAGCCGTCTTTGAGCTGCAGCAAACAAGTTTAAAACTTTTAACCCGTCCGTGTTTTTTATTTCGAACAGCAATCTGCTTTATTAAGCCCCCAACCCCCTTTAATTCCCACATATAGTTTAACTATTTAATCCAACAAACGTTTTAATGTTGAGCCATAAATTTTAATCCGTAAGTCAATAGTCGTATGAATATCGATATAATACTATAAAACGAAATCAAAATATATTTCTAAGTCTTTAAGTGTTTTTTCATAAAACTAATTAAAGCGTGACCCAGGCCAGCCTGGTCACAGTTACTTATTTAAACTAAACCCTTAATAATCGTAAAAACGCAAAGTAATCGAAGCACGGCAAATAGAAAACAGAAATAAAATGAACTAAAATAATAAACTGAATACGTTTCAGTGCATTAGAAAAATGTTAAACTACTTAATTGTAAATATATACATATATATATATATATATTTATCTGTCTACATATGCCATATTGAAAGCAAGTGCATAATACAAAGATACATTTTTAAACATACATATACAATATACATATACATATGCAGTTATAGCGAAACTAACGTTAAGTACCAACTAATAACAACAACAACAAGAAGAACAACGTACTTATATGTAAACGAAAATAAACTATGTGAAAACTCTCAACGGAGAAAATTTATTGAATTAAATAAATAATAATCTAAATAACTAACAAAAGCCACTTATTTTTACTGCGCTTCTATTAGTAAGATTTAATTGATCGGAATTTTTGTTATAAGTTACAGTTAATTTAAAGTTATTTTTATTTATTTTTAATTCATTTTATGTTATTTTTTTATATTTTTGTTTTGGTTTGATTTTTGTTACCAGACTTGAGGTTTGAAACAGCAACCTCTAAACTGCGCTCATTTATTCATGTAAGCTGTCTTTTTAATAATAAATATTTATTTCAGTCATAAAGTGAAGAGCAAAACAAAAACAGAATTCATCATGAAAACAAAATATAAAAATAATATAATTGTGCTGTAAAAGAGCTTTAAAATAAGTTCCGGGAAATGTGCCAACCCATATGATATTCATAATTCAAACGCCTGCTGATTCTGCTGCAAAAATAAACAAAAACAAAATACCAAAATTGAACAACCTAAATTGAAGTTTCATTGACTGGCAGCAGAGATTGCGAGATGGACTCAATGATGATCTCGCGCGACTGCACGGTTAGGGAGCAGCCGCGCACGACCATGGTCATTTTGGCATTGTTGAGGCCACGTGCCACCAGCTGGCCAACGGCGTAGGCCATCACCCGGCCGGTCTCGCGCTGCATGGCTATGGCCGGCACTAGGCTGAAGATGACCGGCTCAATGCTCTCGCCATTCTCCTCGAGCGGATTGACTATGGCCTGGGCCAGCTTGTGTGCAATCGCGTATATGAACTCCTCGTCGACTTTGACGCCGGGATCACAATTCTCGACGGCACTTGTGAGCAAGCGTCGCGTTATGTCGGCAATGTCTATGGTACAGGCCAGCTTCATAAGACGACCGTTCTTATTCGCAGGCAACTCCCAAATTGTATTCGAAATTGACTTGTAAATGCCACGCTGTGTGGCTGAATCCACGTCGATCAGACTCACAAATTCGCCAATGTCATAGTTTTGTATGCCAATTAAATCGCCATTTTGATCGGCCGAGTCGGGATGGGTGCCCAAGTTCTCGTAGAGCCCATGGATGTGCCACTCGAGCGTAGGCTTAAACGGCAAGGCTATGGAAGTGCTCGACGTCGACTCTAGCTCCAAATCGGGTAAGTTCTCAGTCATTTTTACCTTGGGAATTAGACAACCTTTTGTAAGTCTTCCGTTACCACATCACTTTTTCATGGTGCACTCACTTATTATGTAATAGATATATGCTTGATCAAGCAGTTCAGTTTCTCTATGGCTTTATGGAATCACAGTTGAAATTTTCTTATAACGACAACAAAAATAATATATCCAAAGAACTTAATTTATTGCCTGCTATGACTTAGCAATCATTTTTGTGAAGATTTTTTGTGTGACTGTCAATTATTGATTTCAAGCTATCGATATTTATTTTATGATGAGACAGTCGCTTATAAGAATATTTGGATCGCTATTCAATGTTTTGTTATTTCACGAAATTTAAAAAATATTTGTTACTTTTCCATGACATGCATCTTCAGCTTTTTTCTAGCTAAATTTGTCTCTTTTAATTAGCTAGCTAAGTACGCTATTTTCATTAAATTGACTTCAGTTACTTTTAAAGCAACAAAAATATATTGGCTGCAAATAAGTTTTTCTTTTTGATTAAAACTACTCTGGTAAAAAAATAATGTTAGAGGAAAAGTTTAGTTATTTTATTTGATATTTTTGTGCCAATCTTTTTTCTTTGCTGCCTTTCAATGCTCCGAGCTAGCTTCCATTCAAATGCATGGCAATTTTAAGCCTTGACCCAAGTCTTTCGATCGGAATACATATGCACTTATTTGTGGGATGTTTATTTTCTTCAATTTCACACTGAGGGCTTGCCGGAAACTCGTAAAAAATGCGCATATGCATAAGTGCGCATAGAACTTATAGACGTACGTGTGTGTGTGTGTGTATGTGTGTATGTGTGTATTTACTATATAAAATGCATATAAATTTCCTGGCTGAAAACGCAATGCGAATATTTTGGCTAAGGACGTGGGGCAATCAATGCACTGCAACAAGGTCGAAAATTGTCAAAAGGATGCATTTCAAATTTCTATTAGCAGGGCGAAGCGCCGTTTCCCCAGCTAGAATTGGGTATATGCACTTTCTGATGAACTGTGTAACAATCGCAATCCAAACAATGTTAGCCAAGCTTGTGTTCTGCAACCGTTCACCTTCTATTGAGAACATTACTTTAAAGGGTATTCGTAGCTGCGATTTGAACCATTCACTTTTATTTGATCTGATTGAATGGTATGCTAACCCCACTGATGGAATGAAATTGAAGCAGTTTGATTGAAAAATTCAATAAAAGGAAAGCGAACTAAAAAGTTTAAATTAAATGCTGTTACAAAGCAAGGACAACCAATATAACAGAAGTTTAGGGGGTCGCTGAAATTAAGCCTTTGAGAAATTTAATAGGTTCGCAAAAAAAAAAGAATGAGTGCTTGGTTAAATACAGTCCGTGTACGGTAGACAAGATACATTGTCTATAAGAATGTTAAGAATATTTTAGAATTAAAATTCATCTCCGCTGTCTCGCCAAATTCTCAGAGAGTAATTTAAATTATTTACGAATCGCTATGCAGCACACCCTGAAGGATGCGCCAGTACTTAATATGCCACATAGAAGCCGCATAATTTTCTAAATGACAACTAATGAGCGCACATTCAGGCTAAAAGGAAGCTGCAAGCTGGAATGAGAGTTTTTTTTTCTGTGCACATAACAGGGTCAAACCAAGTAGGAAATGCAAAGTGCATTCACATTTTGATTGCATTATTGCCATTCATAGCAAATCTGACTTCCGTGTGCAGCCAGAACATGTGCACCCCTCCTTCCCCTTACCACGCTTATCTAGTGCATGAATGCATACTATGGCGCCTATTATGGGCTCAGACGCCTCGCACAAGGTGAGGCATTGAAACGCGCCTCAAGCAGCCACCTGGACATGCACGAGAGCAGTTGAACTAATGCCTCACCTTGCCAAATAGCCCCATTTTCAGTGCCTGGATGCAAAACTTTTGGGTGTCAGCATTAGTTGAGACCTTTGTATGAAGCCGGTGCGGTTTGAAAGAGATTTGCGTTTTGTGGAAATCAACCCAAAAGCGATTTAAGCAACAACAACAAAAAATGATGTTTTCCGTGATTTTGGTAAGAGTTTTTGCGGCTTTAGCAAATGAATAGGCGGATAGAAACAGGATAAAGTGAAGGATGAGCTTAAAGCTGGGAACAAGCCTAAATAATTTTGCATAGAAAAAGTCAAGGGAATTACTATAATCATCTATATGTAGAGGGAAATAGATGGAATGCTCAGAGTAATTAAACATTTTTAATATGGCATCAACTATGTAGAGAAAACATAAACTATTCTATAAGAATTCTATAAAAAAGAAAGCTCACGTTTATGTAGTCAGTTTATTTTTAGAAATGTTCTTAATGTTCATCATAAATCAGCTAAAACAATAAAGAAAATCTGTCATTTAAATGCTGCGCCTCAAAAAGAGATTAAGTTTTCCAAAGATTATGCAAAAATTGCCCAAATATGATGTGCCCTTTTCTGCTGCCACAGCCCAAACAGAAAATAAATAATGTTGAAAAGGCGGAAACATGCAGCACCGCACGGGATGTAAAATCAGCAAGGCCAAAGGACATGCTCTGAAGGTCGCTAAATAAAATAACGAATTTCTTTCAAGGCAAAGAAAAGTTCTGCATCAATGGCGAAGGATTTGAAGTTTGCAAACAGGCCACATTTTAGAAAAAAGGGTTCCAAAAAACGGAAGATCCAAATGGCGTGACACCGGACATGAAATAATTTCAATTTTGTGCATTTCCATGGGCGCCAGATTGCTTGAAATGGGCACAAGTCAAAGAAAAATATTAAAGCTGAATTTGAAATTTTTAATAAACTTTTGCCACACAACTTTCGAATACCGTTAAGTCCGGTCACCCTCTATCCCTCCCATCTCTCGCTCGTTGCAGTTGTGTTTCGGGCACAAAATATACGAGAAATTCTCGTTGTCTACCCCTATTCCCCGCTGGCTTTAAAAGCCGCAAAGTGTCGCTGCGTTTTCACTGCTTGGCTCAAATGTCCGCTGGGAATGAGGCGTCATTGCTTTACACTTTTCTTCTAGCGCTTTTCATTCGTTTAATTTCGGTGGCTGCCTCCACCAACTTCCACATCTTAGGTACCACTCTGGGCGCCCGGAGGAGCCGGGGCAGGTGTGGGCTGTGTACAACAGATGGCACTTGGGTATTTAACGTTCGCTAATGCCCCGCAGCCGCTGGGTTGTAAATGGGGCGTGGCTGCAGCCGCAGTCGCACTCGCTGCGGCAGCCGAAAAACGAAGGCGACAGTTGGCGGCCGTTTCCTAATTACAAATCAGCGGTGGCACCCAAAAAACGAGCGCAAAAAATATCCTTGTAACACAAAAAAAAGGGAGAAAAGCAAAAAATATTTTTAGCTACTCTTTTTCTCCATTTTGTTACTGCTTTCTTGCGAGTTTCTGGGTCAACAATTATGCAAAATACTCTTTTCGCGGCGCAGACCGTCGCATTTATCTGTCCCCTTGGCTGTGGACCCTCAACAAAGAGCTGCGCCCCTTCCCAATGGGGGCCTGCTCGCATCCGCTTTGTAATTAGTTCGCTGCCCCACAACACTAGGAAGAGAGGGGACAAAACAAAACGCAAAGTCGAAAGAGAGTCGAAAACAGTTTCTAAACGAGACTTAAAGATTTAATTGCTTGAAATTTTGTTGAGTGCTTCGCCCGATTATAGCCCAATCCCTCCGGGCATAGCCTTGAATTCGACTAATGTGATTGTTTTCGCATTGGCAATTAGAGATTTTTTCCCAAAGTCTTAAAATAAAACAAGTAAGCGGTTCTAGTCGGGAGCTCCCGTCTAGGGATACCCTGAACCCTCTTCTTCCAACATCAAATGCATATATATATTCTATTTTAGAAGCTAAATGTCAAGTTTGGTGACTCTAGCTCTTATTATTTACCAAAATTGCCCAAAAAACAGGATATCGATATCGATTTTTATCGATTGCTTGGAAACGAAGTAAATGATCGATTATCGGAAACAAAGTCGATCTGCGCGGGAACTAGGAGCACCTATATCTAAAAGTCTGTAGCTCTTATAGGTTCTGAGATCCTTGCGTTCATACATACGGACGGACGGACAGACAGACGAACATGGATAGATCGACTGGGCTATTGATGCTGATCAAGAATATATATACTTTATGGGGTCGGAGATGCTGTCTTCTGCCTGTTACATACATTTGGCTTTCGCACAAATACAATATACCCTTATACCCATTTTTAATGGGTTCAGGGTATAAATATCAGGAAATTTTCTCTTCAACTTTGTAAAATTAAAGAAGCTTAAAAAAGATTTGTTAACTTTGCATTAACTAATTGACATCCAAATTATATTTTACCGTGAACCAACCCTTGCCCAAAAACTGCGAAACCAAAAACCGAGTTTTACTATTTACTTTTCAAAAATAGTTTGACTCAAAATAACATTTGAGGGAGACCCAGTTCCTGAGCACGAATAGCTTCGGCCAACTTTTGGATTTACTTACTATACGCAGTAGCTCACATCTAGTTTATGAAAATACTTAAAACTTGTCATATATTCAATTAAATTTTATAAATTAAAATTTTGAAAATATAAAACAAAGGCTAGAACAAAGGGGTCCTTAAAGCAGGGAATATTTTCGAGCCGTAAACTCTTTGTTATTATTTTTGAAAATTATTTAAGGAACACGCAAACGCATGCACATAATTACATATATACATTGTTCTTCTTTGTGTCGCATTCGCAAACTTTTTACTTGTTTGTCTTAGCATCAGCACATAGTAGGAAACACTCCACTGGAAAAGCTGTCTTTTATATAGTTTATTATTATATTAGTAAAGTTAAGTTAAAGAATTATTTTGTAACTATATTCAATTAAATTAAATAAGAAGACATTCAATTGTCTTCAGCACATTCATGTTGACATACAAAACGACTATTTAGCTGATTTCTTATAAAAGCTTACTTACATACTTACTTTTCCTCATGCTTTTATCTTAAAATGTTTGGTTCTCTTGACTGTACAATGGGTAATTTAATAGCCTTGTATTTTTTCATTTTGCACGGCCTTGTTGCAATCCAGCTTGCGGTCTTGGCCAAAAAGTTGTGGCTGTTGTGCGGCAAGGGAATTTTGCCTGAGGTCCTCAGGTTCTAGCTTCGTTTGCGACTCGGCCTTATCAGTCAGCACTTTGGTGGCTCTGTGTGGATTGCCTACGGCAAGTGCAAGTGACATCAT